TGCCTAGGCCCGGAGAACTATCATAAATGAATTAAATGGACTAGAAATGAGAAAAACAGGGCAGCAATATGTAATATACCAAGTGACACTGGGTTTAGGGAGACAAACTAGAACAGAAGAGGTTATAGCAAAGTGGAGCTTCCAGTGTCTAAGCTAATCTCTGCTACACAGAATGAGGGAAGCTCTGTGTCATCAGAACTCATTTCCCAAGAGAAACCAAAATGCTTCACTTTGTGTGTGCATGAAAACTCCTGACTTTTTTAAATGTTGGCAACTATTTCACGATTTCATAAATTATTGGGGCCATCTCTGTAAGGCCAAGCAAAACATGTCTGCTGGCCAAATTTGGCCTTGAGGCGACACATTCTACTGTGCCTGTTTGTGACACATCCTGCTGTTCCTGTGTTCAGCAAGAGCTGATGCTCCTACCAGCAATTCTTAACGTCCCTCCCAGAAATTTCCTTAACAGCTGCCGATCCGCATGTATCTTGATGTTGCCATGTATGCCCAGATTTTCCACAGAGTTCCTCATGCACCTTCATGTGTAGACACTGTAAATAATTCTTCTCATGAAAAGTTAACTAGATCCTGAACTAATTCAGCAGGGCCGCCATCTGGGAGTCCTCAGAAACAGTGAATTGTCAGCACTGTAAACATTAAGGCTTCAGGGAGGACACTGACTTTTTCTAAACGAATCACCCCTGCCAGTCAAGATGTGCAGTGTGGGTTCAAGAACAAGGCGTTCATTTAACAACAATAACAAAAACAGTGAGGATGAAAACCGGACAGCCATCATCATGAAAGGCCTAAAAGCAAACTGTGACTTCCCTAATAAGGCGACGGCCAAAGCTGGCTCCCTGGCGGTTGAGCGCCAATACAATTAATCAGTCTGTTTTCAGTTTTCTCACGACAGCAATATTAACAGTTTGCTTTATTCTGTTTATATGGTGCTGACAGGTCTTCGGCATGTTGGGCCTACTTGCTGGAGATTAATGAGCACTCTCACATCGAGGTAAAAACCAGGCAGGAAGAGATGCCTTTTACTACTAGATAAGAACTGGATTCTCTTGCTTTTTTTGCTTCCCCATCAACTCTTCCCTCTTTTAATTTCGATCAGGGATATAGAAGATTAGTTAAGTCCAACAAGTTCACCTCATTGTTTAAACTCCTCCACTTTAGATGAGGGAGGTTTTCTTTTGCTGCTCCCACAGGTAAAACAAAGGGAGCGTTAAATATTGATTTTGGATAAACTCATCACATATAAAGGTACTGGTGACTAACTTTGTTTTTAAGAAGTCAGATTCAGCCTGGGCAACGTGGAGAAACCCCATCTCTACTACAAATACAAAAATTAGCTGGGTGTGGTGGTGCATGCCTGTAATGCCAGCTATCCGGGAGGCAGAGGTTGCAGTGAGCTGAGATCACACCACTGCACTCCAGCCTAGGCGACAGAGCGAGACTCTGTCTCAAAAAAAAAAAAGTGTGGCTGGCCAGGTATGGTGACTGACACCTGTAATCTTAGCACTTTGGAAGGCCAAGGTAGGTGGGTCACCTGAGGTCAGGAGTTCAAGACTAGCCTGGCCAACATAGTGAAACCCTGTCTCTACTAAAAATACAAAAATTAGCCGGGTGTGGTGGCATGTGCCTGTAATGCCAGCTACTCATGAGGCTGAGGCAGGAGAATTGCTGGGACCTGGGAGGCGGAGGTTGCAGTGAGCCGAGATTGCGCCACTGCATTCCAGCCTGGGTGACAGAGCGAAATTCCGTCTCAAAAAAAAAAGATGTGCAAGCTGGCTGCAGGAAGTATGAACACTTCAGCAAAACTCTTGGAGATTATTTCACTAAATAGTCATATTTCAAAATAAGTCATCCCTGGTTATTTGCTGGCTAGGAAAACAATTTTTTAAAATTACATTTTAATTAAATTTTTTAATAAAAATGATTTGAAAAAATTCAAGACCAGCCCCCTCAACTTACCCCTCCCTCAAAAGTCGTAGAAGTACTACTTGTTACTAGCACACTTTTCTCTGCCTCAGGTTGGAGAGAAATGGTAACCCTAAACAATATTTTAACAACATGTAAGGAGAGGAAATCCAAAATAACAAAATTTAAAATAAAACAGTGCTTCCTCAGTTTCTGTAGGAATCAGTGTCTCATTGTTGGCTTGCAGGGAGAATACTCCACCCATTTTACAAAACAATCACACGGAGAAGTGTGCATGTATAAGCAGAAACTGCAGGCCTGGGCCCAGCTCGCTTTCCACCCCACTCTCCCTTGCTCACTCCTTTTTTGACATAGCAGCAGCAGAAGAGGATTAATTCCAGTAGAGAGAATAACAGGGGGTAGCTTTTAGGTGGAATATTTTATCAACTACTTTTAAAGCCAGATATAAGAACAGCCTAGGATAAGAAAGTGATAATAACAATAATAGTATTTGTTGCATGCTTACTATGTCCAAGCACTGGTTTAAGCACTTCAGCTGTGTGAAGTCATTTAATTCCCACAAGAGAATGCCTTGAGAGCAAAGGAATAATTTTTACCTAAAGTATAGGGTATTTGAGAGTATAAAAATATACTGGGCTAGACTTGGGCAGATCTTGAATTCTATACTTCTATTTTAAATAATTTATCTAATGCAAAAGTTGGATTGAAGAGAAAAGAAATGTTAGACTAATTAGAAGAAGGACACTGCAATAGCCTTGAGATTCTCAATCAGGGTAGCATATTAGAAGTGAAAAGGAGGCTGGGTGCAGTGATGCATGCCTGTAATCCCAGCACTTTGGGAGGCTGTGGTGGGAGGATCACCTGAGGTCGGGAGTTCGAGACCAGCCTGACCAACATGGAGAAACCCCGTCTCTATTTAAAAAAAACAAAAAAACAAAAACAGCAGTGAAAAGGAGAGGAAAGATTTGAGAGTTATCTCAGAAACAGAACCAACTAAAGTTTTTGAACTGATTTGACCGCTCTTTCATTCATTTGCTTATTCATTCAACAACTATTTTTGAGTGTTTTGGATGGGTAAGATACTATGCTAAGTGAAAAATAGGCAGGTAAGAAAAAGAAGACTCTGAAGATGATTCCCTCCTCAAAGCTGGGCTACTAGCCTTTGCTCAGTGGTCTAAAGTCACAATTACTATACATCCATCCCTCCCTCCATCTATCCATTCAGTGCTTACTGAATAGCTACCTTGTGCCAGGCATTGTACTTTATAATGGTTATGAACAAGTCCAGGAAAGAAAAATGAAGGGAAATGGGAGAATTAAGGGGGAAAATGCTGTCTTCATTCTCATAGCTTTGGGAGTGCCTTGTTTCTAGGATTCCCATTTCTTTCTTGGTGGTCTGGCCATAAGGCACAGTACATGGTGGTAAACCACCAGACTGCTGGAATAGAGTAGGGATTCTTAGTCATCCATATGAGGAGAGGACCTTCTATTTAATTTCTAAATGCGTGCCCTGATTTGGCATATTTTAAGCAAAGCAAAACATTATACCATAAAGGTATCTAACATGATTCCCATGTACAGATTTTAATATCGTCTAGAAATACAAGCACAAGAAAAATAAGCTCTGAGCAATGCCAAAAGGTACTGAAAATAACAGAACATACTTTGAACATTAAAAATCTTGTATCTGGTTTAGTTGGTAAATTAGTTTGAGATGTATAATTCTACTGCCTTCCAAGGAAAGCCCTGATCTTATAAAATAAAGATCTTCTTAGACTTTAGAAGAATAAATCCTGACCACTTTCTGGTGCTTTCTGAAAAACAACTAGGTAGTAGAATGACTACCACTGAGAAGTATTCTGCTTTATGGCAGCTGTCTTTTCATTATCATTTTATGAGAGCTTGTCTAGATATTATATATCCTTCACTATCTAGATTTAGTTCTTTTTAGATGCCTGGGGTTATGTCAGTTTCTTTGGATCTAATTGGATCTCAAATTGCAAATTCTATCACTTCAATACTTTCTAAAGGTTCTTATGCAGGTAGGCTTATCTCCAAAACCATTTAACATGACTAATGTATGCTGCTGGTCATTTCTATTAAAACACAAAAACTAAAAGGTACTTTTAGAGACGTATGAATACCACAAACAATTATTTCAAGTATAAGCTAGTTGGTATATGCCAAGGGTGAGACTTTAAATGCCTATAAAATCTGTGTGTAGAAAAGAAATTTTATGAGAGCAGGCACATTTTAGTCTCAACTTTAAGGATCTGAGACTGCTTTGGACTTGGTGTTCTATGAACTATGAGCTAACTAAGCTACGGGAAAGCAGCCTGCACTGACAGTAAGATAAAAGGCAAAATCCTGGGCCTGTGCATTTTAATTATAGCTCTACTGCCTGCATCACTGACCAACTTTGGGTATTTGTTTCTGTATGGAAAATAAGATTTGAGGCCCACATCGTGGCTCATGTCTGTAATCCTAACACTTTTGGAGGCTGAGGCAGGAGGCTTGAGTCTAGGATTTTAAGACCAGCTGGGCAACAGAATGAGACTCTGTCTCTATTCTTTAAAAATAATAATAATACATATATAAAATAAAATTTGAATAACCATTTACTTATTTCACAATGAAAATGTGTTTTTTAGTTATGAACTGTTTTAAACATGCTTTTTTTTGCTGATGAAAAACAGGAATTGAAATTGGGAAAGGTATAAAATACTACGTAAGTGACCAATATAGATATTCCCATGATTATTATCTCAAATTAACATATTGTTAAGACAAGTGTTCACCATCCTGGGCACTCGATCCATGGGTGAAAGCCTTCAGTAATGGTGAATGTTATTTTCATTTTGCTTGGCTCAAACAAATGGCGAATGTTGGAGTAAAAAAAGTAAAAGATGAGCCCAGAGAGAGACTGGCAGTGGAGAGGTGGAGGGAGAGCCACAGAATTAGAGGCAGTCTGGAAAGGCCCTTTGGAGATCATCTAACCACCCTCCAGGGGCGGAAAGAAAAACAAACGGGAGCCGTCTGACATTTATGACTCTTACCTGCGGCGAAGATCCTCTGCCACCGCTGCCCGGCAGCTGAACAAATAGGCTCGGAGCGATTTCAGCCGCTGCCGCAGCCGCAGCACAGCAGCCAGTGGCTCTGCGTGGTGGTACAGCATGGCGTTCTCCTGCTGGATGTCGATGAGCGGCTCCTCGTACACGTACTCCAGAAACTCCTTGGCCTGCTTGGACACCTACGAAACAAGTGTGGTCAGTCAGTCCTGGCGAAGTACCCGGCTCTCCACACCTGCTTAAACTAGGAACCATAGCTGAACTATCAAAAGAACACGATTATTTTCTAAACACAGCCAAATGAAAAAGTCTGTAGTTGAATTAAATGTAACTTTTGGTTTCTCTCTCTTTCAGACATTCAACTGTAAGCTAGGAAGGAATTTATTAATTCTGTATCTTGATTGCAGTGGCGATTACTGGAAATGGGATAGAATGGCAAAGTACGGTGCCATTATATCGACCCATTATATCAATGCCAATTTGCTGTTTTTGTTTTTGATATTGTACCTTAATTGCTTAAGATGTAAAGGGAGGAAAATGTGTGAAAGGTACACAGAACCTCTCTGAATTGTCTATGCAATTTCCTGTGGATCCATGATTATTTCAAAATTAAAAAAGGAATTAATTAAGAAGACTGTCTTTTTTTTTTTTTTTTTTTTTTTTTAATTGAGATGGAGTCCTGCTCTGTCACCAGGCTGGAGTGCGGTGGCACGATCTCGGCTCATTGCAACCTCTGCCTCCTGGGTTCAAGTGATTCTTCCTCCTCAGCCTCCCGAGTAGCCGGGACCACAGGAGCATACCACCATGCCCGACTAATTTTTTTGGATTTTTAGTAGAGACGGAGTTTCACCATGTTGGGCAGGATGGTCTCCATCTCTTGACCTCGTGATCCGCCTACCTCGGCCTCCCAAAGTGCTGGGATTACAGGCGTGAGCAACTGCGCCCGGCCAAGAAGACTGTCTTAACACAAATACCTATTTTTTAAAAACAATATAAATTCTTATGTGCATATATAAGGATGAATATTCCATAACACTTTTTAAAAAGTAGCCACTTTAAAAAAATAGGTAGATCAAGGCCGAGTGTGGTAGATCATGCCTGTAACCACAGCACTTTGGGAGGCTGAAGTGGGAAGATCACTTGAGGTCCGGAGCTTAAGACCAGCCTGGCCAACATGGCAAAACCCCATCTCTACTAAAAATACAGAAATTAGCCAGGTGTGGTGGCACAAGCCTGTAATCCCAGCTACTTGGGAGGCTGAGGCAAGAGAATTGCTTGAACCCGGAAGGCAGAGGCTGCAGTGAGCCAAAATCGTGCCACTGCACTCCAGCCTAGGTGACAGAGTGAGACTCTGTCTCAAAAAAAAAAAAAAAAAAAAAAGTAAATCATGTACATATTACAAAATTCAATAGGATATTATTTGCAGAATAATCTGACTGAAGAGCAAACCAGCTCAAATACATTGCTTCAATGAAGAGAAAAAATTTGCTCTTATTACAACTTTGAACTTGGGCTGTCTCCAGCCAATATATCCATCCAACTCTGTATCCACCTTGAGTAGTAATCCACAAGACTATGAAAGTTTATTTTATTTTACTTTATTTTTATTATTATTATTTGAGATAGAGTTTCACCCTAGTTGCCCAGGCTGGAGTGCAATGCCGCGATCTTGCGTCACTGCAACCTCCACCTCCTGGGTTCAAGCAGTTCTCCTGCCTCAGCCTCCGGGGTACCTGGGATTACAGGCATGCACCACCATGCCTGGCTAATTTTGTATTTTTAGTAGAGACGGGGTTTCTCTATGTTGGTCAGGCTGGTCTTGAACTCCTGACCTCAGGTGATCTGCCCGCCTCGGCCTCCAAAAGTGCTGGGATTACAGGTGTGAGCCACCGTGCCTGGCCTGAAAGTTCATTTTATAATGTCATTGTCATCAGTAGAAATAAATAGTAAATGGAAACACAATATCTCAGAGATACAGAGGGAGTGGCTTAAATAATGCATAACGTGAGGGTAATTTTTCAGAATCTCTACATACCAATCACTGATACTGAGATGTGGATTGGCTACTAATACACAGAAAGTTGGCTCAGTTTCTATTTATGGAAGGTAAAATCTCTCTAAAACGTTTCCATTAAAACCTCTCTAGGAGCAAGGTTAGAACTCAACAGTAAAACAAACAAACAAAAAACTTTGCTTATTAAAAAGATAATTAAAAATCTATGTTTCATATGCTAGGCTGGAAGTATATTAATAAAGATATATAGGATACAGTTCCTACCCTCAAGTGGCACACTGCTTAGCATGAGACAAATATTTAAAACAAAACCACATATAACATGTAGTGTGTAGCCTGTCATCTGCTACAAAAGAGGGATGAAGTATGAATGGGGCCCACTGGTGGCTTAGAGGAGGAAGAAATCAACTCTCCTGATGGAGAGAGGGTTGGGAGCCTGGTGGGGAGAGGGCTGGCAAAGCAGGTGGCAATGGATCTGGTTGTAGAAGATAAACTGAAAGTCGCTTGGTGAACAAATGCAGGACAGAGGAGAGTACAACAGGCAGATACAAACCTAAAAACCCCTGTTGATTATACATTTCTTATACATAAACATAAAATTCAATATGATCATTTTCTTATATTGTAAAGCTTATACCAAAGTTTATGTTCTTCATAGGAATGGGAAAAAATATATCATTTAAAAAATAAAAGTCTAATTGTTTTCTTTATAAGCAATTATTTTTGAGGTACCTTGTGTTGTGTGATCCTACCTGCAGAATTAGAGTTATAAAATTATAGAAGTTTATAGTATCTGAAAATCCAGGTCACAAAGAGGTACCTAAAATTAGCCAAAATCTTCAACTATTTAACCAGATTGGCAATAATAGGTATTCCAAGGTGACAGACAAATAATCCTCACTTTTATTTTTGAGGCACATATTAATAGACACAAATACATGCCAGATACAGTAGCAGGCATTAGACATTCAGTGGAGAATTAAACAAGCATGGCCCTGTTTTTAGGTATAAGAGCCCACAGTTCAGTGGGGAAAGAAAGAATTGGGTTTAAATATTTTATTTATCATGATTAAATATTTGCTATATTGAAATATCTTAAAATGAGGAAAAGACTGATGGTGTTTTGGGAAATGAAGTACAACCCACTTGAAACTGTTGCTAAAAAATGATGTATTGTACAATTCAATTAGTCTTTCTGGCTCAATTGAGCAGTGTTTATATGGAGTCAGAGTCCTGCTGAATTAGGTTAACAATGCTACCTTTTAGTAGGTGAACAGAGGGACAGAGGGCACTGGCCAGTCTCCCAGGCCTTAAAAGGCTTCTCTCTTCAGGTGGTACTTAAGCTCGAAAAAAAGAAAAAAATCTTTTACAGAGAAAGTAAAAGCAGTGAGATAAATGGAAAAGCAGCCACTGCTATCAGTATTCATAAACTGAAATTATAAAAAACAAAAACAGAGCTAGTTTCAATAATGCCAAAGGCGCTGCCTTCACAAGCTATTACTAGCAGTAGGCATACGGTGCACATAGCTATGGCTGCTGCCTGTGTACATGAACAAATCTCCACCACGTTCAGCCATTTTTGTCAGCAAGGCTGAACACATGCGCTTGTTTTTGAGAATCAGCCACTACTAACAATTGGTGAGGGAATTTTTGAGAGAACTCAAAATTTGGTATGGGATATTATATTTGCAAAAGAGAGCACTGTATCCCCACTGATTTCCTAAGTTCTTTTAAATTTATTTTTTATTTTTTAATTATTGTTATTTTTTATTTTATTATTATTTTTTTAGAGATAGGGTTTCTCCATGTTAGTCAGCCTGGTCTGGAACTCCCAACCTCAGGTGATCCAACAGCCTCAGCCTCCCAAAGTGCTGGGATTACAGGCGTGAGCCACTGCACCCAGCGATTTCCTAAGTTCTAAATGACCCTCCATACTGGTATGAGGATTGTATTCTCAAACTCAACTCTAATTAAAAAAAGAAAATGTTGGCCGGGCGCGGTGGCTCAAGCCTGTAATCCCAGCACTTTGGGAGGCCGAGGCGGGTGGATCACGAGGTCAAGAGATCGAGATCATCCTGGTCAACATGGTGAAACCCAGTCTCTACTAAAAATACAAAAATTAGCTGGGCATGGTGGCGTGTGCCTGTAGTCCCAGCTACTAGGGAGGCTGAGGCAGGAGAATTGCTTGAACCCAGGAGGCAGAGGTTGCGGTGAGCTGAGATCGTGCCATTGCACTCCAGCCTGGGTAAATAGCGAAACCCCGTCTCAAAAAAAATAAAAATAAAAAAATGTTAAAAAAAAGTCACTTAGGAACAAAAGCTAATGATATTCTTAGGTGATAAAGTTTATGTGAGAGAAACTTTATTTTTTGTTAATATAAATATTACATGAATTATATGTAAACACTGACTATGTCCCAACTAAGAGCTAAGAGCTACCATCCTACTTTTTGCCAACCAAATTATGAAAAACTTAAAAAGGGCCAGGCATGGTGGCTCACGCCTGTAATCCCAGCACTTTGGGAGTTTGAGGCAGATGGATCACAAGGTCAGGAGTTCGAGACCAGCCTGGCCAGCATGGTAAAACCCCGTCTCTGCTAAAAAATACAAAAAATTAGCCAGTCAGGGTGGCGCATGCCTGTAATCCCAGCTACTCGGGAGGGTGAGGCAGGAGAATTGCTTGAACCCAGGAGGTGGAGGCTGCAGTAAACCGAGATTGTGCCATTGCACTCCAGCCTCGGCGACAGAGTGAGACTCCGTCTCCAAAAGAAAAACACAGAAAGCCTGAGTGCCATTTCTGATGTAAAGAAAAGTTCAGCTCATAGTCGGGTGCAGATGGATGAGCTCAAAACGCTGTTTTTAAAAATGAATGGTTTGGGCTGGAACTCCTTTCCGTGATACCGCTCCATTCACATTAGTATTACTATTAGTATTTTACCAAATACTATTTATTAATGATATTCATTCTATTTACATGAATGAATTTCTTTTCATAGCTCTTGTAGCTTAAGAACAGAATAGTTGAAGCTATAAGAACTCAACTCTGTAACTGTGATTGTGCTGCAGTTTGTGAACTGACTCTTTCTTCACAACCCTGCAGTCTACATGATTCAAGAGAGATGAGAAGGAGGAATCCAAGAGGAAACAGGCCTCCGCCCCTACCTCACAT